GACAAAAAAAGGAATGGGTCAGAATACAGCACTCAGATTCGTAGTACTGTCAAGCCTCGCAACGTCCCAGTGGCGTTTTGTAGCTAGTTCCACTGTGCTCGAGGCTTCCTTAAAGAAATTTTAATATCAAAATGCCGAGGCTGGTTTTCAAGGGGTTTTTTTAACATACAGCCACTCTCCTTGCTGCCAGCACAAAGCGGCCGTGGGGTCGGAGGAAAGAGGCTTGTCACCGCTAGAATTGCGGTGGAAGGCGCTCTCATCATCCTGCCTGGGAAAAAGGGGAAATAAGCAATAAAGATCAGAGACGCTAACCTGCGATTTAACTTGGGAGAAACTGTGTTTTTGGAAAGACGTGCTACCTGCCACGAACACGGTCTGTTTTGTCAGCAGTTTGATAAAACTCTGCTGCGAGATGCTCTTCACGCTGCCCTGCAGTGCAGTCGTATCAAACCCCGGGTTTTCTGAACGACTTGCACTTTGGTTCTCCCTTTTCGGCTGCGGGAGGTTCGCGTCCGCGGATCATCCCCTTGGCTTACGCTTTTCATACGACTGAGCTTGGGGAGATCCCAATTTCCCTTGTGGTTTTTTAAATTATTAGTATTATTATTTTAACGAGGCCCGTATTTGGAACACAGTGTCGTGAAGAGTCAAATCCCTTCCTGACACCTTTTGGGAAGACTTTTAAATGACTTTTTAGCAGGTCTGGTTGGCTGCTTTCACCAACACCTGAGTGAAAGGATCGGGGGGGGGTCAGTATTTCACAGTTTATTTTCCCTGCCATCCACTCCAGTGTAGCCCATGTTCATGCTCATCATGTGCACACTTCATCATTCGTACGGACATGATTAAATGTTTTCAGGAGCAGGGTGGAGGCTAGAAAGTCTGGCAGCTTCCAGGAGCTTGCCTCGGTTATCCTAACTAGTTATGGACAGGATATTGGTTTCCCTAATCACAGAAAATTGGGGTTGGAAGGGAACTTAGGAGGTCATCTGAGATGATATGGGAGCTATCCAATACTGTGTGCTATAGAGTAGCAGGGTAGGGCTAACAGTATTCATGGAAAATAATCCCTGTCTTTTCCGAGATAAATTGTGCTGTTGCTCTTATATTTCTGCCTAAATTAAACTAGGCCTTCCCTTCATTGGAAAAGCACAGAAATCATGATGCTGTGTTTAATGAAGGAACGCACGGGCCTCATTACGTGGTCAGGGTGGAGTCCCGGCTCCAGTGAAGACCTCTTACCTTCAGCCGAACCAGGATTTCACTGTCTCACGATTTTCATCGCGCAGGGCGCGTCTACACGTTCATTAATGCGCCATAATTACAGTGCAGTAGCTTAGCACATGTAATAACAGGTACTAACTTAATGCATCGTAATCAGCACTACTGCGCATTAACACAAACGAATGCTTTTTTGTGATGCTTAATGCTCAGTGGACTAATCTACTGCACATTAGCTCGGTTTTTGCCAGCTAGAAGTAGTCCAGTGGTCATTCAGCATCTCGTGTAGACGCACCCACAGACACTTAATTACCTTTTTAACTAACTCTCTGCTCAGACTCTGTCCCAACCCTTCCCAATTGAATTGCAATTTTTCTTATCCACATCATTTCAGTCTCTGCCCTGGTGTTTTAAACTCAAAAAACATCCCCCAAATAAACCCCCAAATCCCTACCTTGGCGTGCTCTTACCAGAAGCTCTCAAACTCCATTATCTTCCTCATATCGACATGCCTTAAGATGCTTCTTAAATCTCATTACAGTGAATACGCAGGTCCCTTTTATTCAAAGCAGTTTGAGGTCAGGTTGCTGTCCTCCTCTATCACATTTGCCAACCGGACCCAAGACAATTAGTTAAAAATTCACAAAAGCAATACTAATAATAATTTTAAAAAAATTCCTCTGGAGAAAATCCTGGAGAAACTTTAGGCCTATATTGGCAGCAGTTTGTCTTTTTAGCTAGAACAGTCCAGCAGTTGAGACTGATGCATTTATAATGATGCACTTTTCTTTGCAAGATTTTTTTTCATGCACTTTACGCAGGAAAACATTTTGATTCCTGTATTTAAAACCCCGTAGTAATAGCTCTAATGTGTCTGCACCTTTTTTTTACATTTTCTTTTTTTAAATCAACTCAGTCCAGTGGCAATGACTCTGAGACTCTAGGAATAGGAAATTGTGGGTGGTTTCAAAGTGAGTACAAAATGTGCTGGTCTAAATGCATGTTAACCACTCTGTAATTCCACATATTTGCACGTGGCACAAGGTTTTTGTAAAGTTGAGACGTGGTGGTTTGTCCCGAGGTGGCCAAAAGTATCCTTCCTCGTATTTTTTTTTCTTCTAAACAAAGCCAAGTGTTTCCGCTGTGTTGTTCAGAAGATCCCACGACAGTCGCACGGTGTCTTGACCTTTCCCTTGTTGAAATACCGTCCTTGGCTTCCTGAGGGGCCTTCGTTCACGGTTACGTTTGTACGTGATCTAGTCTAGCAGCAGGACAGCCAGGTAAGACGTAGTGACGGTGCTGCATGTGGGACTGTCTGAGGGATGTCAGTCGGGACTGGGTCTGTCTCCATTCTGCCCAGGCCAGTCGGAGGAAGACAAATGCACTTGGGCTTGACTTGGAAACGGTTAGCACCCCTCTCCTTTATTGCGACGAATCGGGGATCCGCGGTTGTTACGGATCAGACATGAATGGTTGTATGTCGTACGCTGCTTGTGAAGACCTGTTCATAGGGCAGCGGGGTCCTTGGGGCTGATGATGAGTCCCCTTCCTTGAACTCGTGTTGCTGTTATGCTGGTACTGTCGAATCTTCTTTGCACAAAACTACGTATTTGAGCAGTGCCTTATCCCTGGGTCGCATCCCTCGTACCTTTATCCCCCGTACGTGCCCCAGACTGGTCTTGTCCTGGCCTGAAGTGTTCAGGCTTTCTTTGTTTTCCTGTCATTTAAGTTCAGTGTTGTAAGTGCAGGCGGTTCACACTACAGAATGCAAGCGGCTCGATGGCTGGGATGACAACCAATAAGTGTCCCGACTTCTCGCCTCGCAGCAACACCCCTTCGCGCGCGTGCACGCGCGTGCGTGCGTGCGCGCGCACACACACACACACACACACACACACACACACACACACACACACACACACACTCTTCTCCCAAAGAAAACCTCAGCTGGTGTTCAGAGACGCACTTCTCCTGTGATGTGGCTGCGTCTAATTACCATGAATCCCGGTTTTCTCTGATTAAAAAAAAAAATCCTAAATTTTCTGATTTGAAAAAGTAACCCAAAATCCAGTTTTCCATGATTAAAATGTAACACCACTTATGTGTGTGTGTATGTGTATGTATGTATGTATATGCATGTGTGTGTACACATAGTGCTAATAAATATATATAATATATATCAAAAAATATATTAGCACTGTGTGTGTGTGTGTGTTTATATTGTGTGTGTGTGTGGTGTTTCATTTGAATCATGAAAAAATGTGGATTTTGGGTTACTTTTTTAAAATCAGAAAATTTGGGATTTTTTTTTATCAGAGAAAACCAGGATCCCTGCTAATTAGCAGCTGTGAGGTGCCTCTCACATCCCAGCACCACCTCCAAGGCCGTGTCCAAAGCAGCTCCCTGGACCCATCGTCTTGAACGGCCGAACAAAACGAGTGGAGGGAGGCGGCGGGGCCCAGCACCCCTCGCACTGTCCTGGCGGCGGTGTGTGTGTCGCGCATCAGCCCCCACTTCCTTCCCACCCCCAAGGACCAAGCTTGGAGCACTCCTGCATGATGGCAGCACAACTGTGCACACGCTCGAACCCCCCAAAATGTCCCAGATCATCCCCAGCGACTGCTGTCAAGCACATTGGAGACGGGGGTAGTGAGTGGGGTGACAGAGGGGCACCCCGGTGTGTGTACCTGCCCGGTCCTAGACTGACGCTGCGGTGAGGGCACAGGGACATGGCGCAGGGAAGTAGTAGACATATCTGAGTAGGAGGGAAAGACCTTTCTGCAACCACTTCCTTAATACAGGGACTATTTCTCTGTGGTGGGAAAGCACATTAGGTGCCATTCTGCCCCCCGCCCTAAGCATGAATACACGAGCCATACTCTCAGCAATAATATCAGGTTATGAATTCAAAAGCTGCTGCCGCACTTCAGGCGCGGCTGAAGGCAGTCGGTCTTCAGCATCGCTCCTCCTGACACAGCACGTGGTAGTAGCTACCGAATGCGAGCCCTAGCGCGGCGCATGAGGTTCACCGTACCTTTGGGCTTGATCTTCAACACTAATGATTGCAATGTCACGGGGGGCTTCTGAAATGTGTCTCTTCGGTTGATCTGGTTTGTTCTGTAAATGTGGGTCTGTATATAAAGAGTGGCGATTTAGACGGTGGCTTCAAGCGTTGATTTGATGTACTTTTAAATGAGCTAAAATCCAAAGATACTTTGTAATGAGCGGTAAAGTTTTTAATGATTTGATGTACAATACTAAACGCCTGTAATATTGTACCATACGTTCGGTGTGACCCGCAGTATCTAAATAAACTCCTCCTCCAGAACGAAAGAAGCCACCGTTATTTTGCAAGTCTAGTCTTTTCCTGAGTGTTTCAAAGCCACAAATCAGGTTTAATTGATTTGTTCGCAGCTATTAATGCACAACATCTGCACAACAGGCTGCAGCTGCATCTTAGCCGTCTTATGCATTTTATGACTGCATTTTCAAACGGTCAAAATATCTGCCGTCGTCCTCAGACCGCTTTCCAAGCATTCGGCCAAACAGCAGCAGATGCGGGGAGCCCCTCCAGAGTCTCCAGTCCGTTCCACATCTGGGTGGAGGGGGAGACTCGTCCCAGAAGTCCTGATCCCACAGAGCGGATATTGGGCCACAAGTGACCTAGGTAAGGTCCCAGAGTAAATCAGAAGACAAAACCAAGTCTCTTGATGGAAACGTTGACTCCAGCCCCGACACTTGGGTTTGGGGTCAGCACGGCCACCTCTGCCCCCTCGCTGCAGCAGGGGGGAGCATGCATTTAAGAAGCCCTCCAATAATGGTATTCAATACATGGAAGATTAGAACAAATTTATAAATTTTCCATACGTAGAATCTATTGGGGCGTCATCTTAAGTTCAAGGTCATCTTGGATTTGCATAAATACAGTAGTTGTGGCTCCCAGCTTTAACCCTTAAGCGCATTCCCAGAACGGAGCAGATTGATCGGTGATAACCATACACGAAAAAGAAATTCTGCTGCAAGTAAGAGAATAACTCTTGGTTGTTAGTTCACCCCTGGCTGATATTGCCTGGAAAAACCCCTGACCTCTCTATGAAGTCAACTGGCCAAAGAATAAAAAAGAATGTCAATGCCAAAGTTTCTTAAAACATTTAGTTTTAGACTAGCACAAATGCCTGCTCAGGGCTTATGAAAATCGTATTCTGTTCTAAATGGACAACATGCTGAACACTTCACAGCTAAATTCATCTTCTGGGAAGAAAAGGTGATTTTAATGATTAAAAAAAACCCCTTCCAAAATATTTTAATACTTGGAAAGATTTTTTGGAGACTGTTCAGGTTGAGGTAGGACATTTGCTGCTGGGATGAATTGAAGGATAAATTTGTTTAAACCAAGTTAAAACCAGAGTGATCTGTCAATGCTGCCCACACGCATGGATGTGAGGAGAGAAGCTAGTACGTGTTCGCAAGCTCGTTGATGTGTGACAAAGAACTGCAAATACTGTATCGCGCGTGTGTGTGTGCAACATACCCTGGAGTATAACAGCGCCTTGATTTTGAAAGACAAAAGGAAGCGGAAAAAGATATGACAGAGTTACAGCTACATAGAGCAGGGACAAAACCCAATCTTCAATTGACTTACCCTCCCTTTCCTGCTTAACTAAAGCTGAAACCCTGGGTGCTGCTGAAGACTGGTTTCTATGGGTGGATCTGTGAGTTGGAAAAGAGCCAAAGAGTCTTCAGGGCTGCGAAAACGGAGGAAAGCCCCGGTTAGTGCATGCACCCCAATTCGGGGTGGGGGAACTGATTTTGGAGAAAAGGGTGCATGTATTATATGTGAGAAAATATGGTGGTAGGGCATGTCTCTAAATTGAAGCTACAGCCAAATATAAGGAACGGGAATGTTATTTTGCCCTCCATACTGGGCGATTCCTTAGACCTGCACATCCTCTGTGCCATGAATTGTACTGGAAGAGACCGCACCTGCAAACTCACTGCCGAGTCCTGACCGACGATACCCCGCACGTCCCAAAAGAAACTGCTTGCAAATCTTTTTGGAAAGAGCAGCTTTTCCTGTGTTCTTTCGCCACCCCCGGGTCGTTCAGTATTTGGGAGCTGATCCCGGGGTGGGAAGGGGGTTGAGTAGTTAACTGCGCGTCCTCGTACCTGGACTGCAGTGGGATTTTTTCAGCTTCTACCTTACGTTGGTTTTTACTGTTGTAGCTTTTTACATCACTTGAGTGGATCCGTTCCACTAAATCAGGAGAATGATGGTGACACGTTTGAACATGGGTAAGGGAATCTTCTACAGACAAAGCCCCTGTGATACAGCAGTTAGTGCAAACATGAAGCTCACAAATCGCCTGGTGGGGAGTCCCAGTGCTTTACACACAGCCTCGCACTCCTGTCTTCGACTCCTCTGCTCTTTTATTTTTTTAAGGTGTAGCTAATGAGGTAAATAAGTGATTTGACTTGCCCGAAGTCTGGCAGGAAGTCGGTAGCAGAGAAACACAGAGACCCCGTCTGTCCTGAATTTGGTTCTAGATTAATCCATCACCACTTTATTGTCACCCAGGTAGGGAGAGGCCACAGGAGCATTTAAGAAGGCATCGGATATTTATGTGAGTAACAAATAGCGTAAATGCAGGCCCTAGACTTCAAGGGGCCTGTCGCCAAGACTTTAGACGTGCACAAGAAATCCCAGAGCCGTGGGGCTGGAAGGGAGCTCGCACCTATCCAGCCCCTGCCCGAGGCAGGATCGGCCCTGTCCAAACCAGCCCGGACAAACCCATTGCCCGACCTCTTTGTAAAACTACCGTTGATCCTGAAACGCCACCAGACATCACACCCAAACCTGCTGCAGGGAAACGCGGCAGCCAGTGTCCTGCTTCTACAGTAGGTTGTTAATATACGTGCAAGAGATCCCAGGCGGAGGCCGTGTCTCCGCTACAGGGGAAGGCAAATCCTCCCCTCACCCCCAGTCTGTACCAGTCTGGCCCTGGGGTAACATTGCTTCCTCACCCTGACAGCAGTGAGAGCAGGGGCAAGTCCAGCTTTGGTCCTAGCAGGAGCATTGGCAGAGCCCCGTTGACCCCCAGCACCTCTGCAGGAGACTTAAACCCCGCTGACACCTTGCAGAAAGTCAGGGTGGGGGCAACGAGCAAAGCCCAGCAGCATGGGAAATCACTGTAGGAGGCAGCTACTACCGACCACTGCCCAACCTCTTTTTCCACACCTTCCCTGGGCATCTATTCTGCTTCCCCCCTGCTCGAACAAGGGGGCGTTTTTCCTGATAGGCAACCAAAATCTACTTTGCTGCAACTTCAGGCTGTCGGTCCATGTCCTCCTCTCTGCAGCAAGAGAGCAAAGGTGCTTTCCCTCTTCTTCCTGGCCGCCCTTCGGGTAGGTAAAGACTGCTGCACATCCTCTCTCAAGCATCTTTCCTGCACCGTGGCAGATAACACAGCTCTTTGGGTAAATCCGATACCTTTTTTTAGACCAATGCTTTCCTGCCCTGTTGAATTCTCCCCACACCTGGCATTATCCACAGATGTGCTTGGGGCGCTCTTGGGAGGTCAGCAGGGATGGCCTGTTGCAGCACTGCGAGCTGCTTGCAGAGTGGGCTACAGCACTCACCCCCCCCCCCCCATCTTCTAAATGGAGGGGAAACTGCTTCAGGGGGCTGTGCAGACCATTGCGGCAGCCTGGAGGCAGCCAGAGAGCTGGAGCGATTATAAGCATTGCCCCCAGTTGGATGCAGACACGGGCAGCCTGGGCAGATCATGGCACTCTGGGAGCAACGCCGAGTCCCTGGGCTGCTCTGCCGTGCGTGGGCTGATGTTTCCAGATTGCCCCGAGGCCACAGGGCTGCACGCGCCTGCAGCCATCAAGACTGGTGCTGGCAAAGGCATGAAGCGAGGTCCCCGCTTCTGAGAGGCAGAGGTGCAGTTTCCCAGCTGGGCGGACAGAAGTCGGGCTCTTAGACACTGCTGCTCCAGTCCTCTGGCCGTAAGCGGAGTGAATACAAGCACCAGACCTGCCCTTCCTCCAGCTTCTCACCCATGCTCCCGCTACCTGCAAGTACCAACCGTGAGACGCTGGCTGGGGCCGAGGCGAGCTGGACCAAGCCAACAGTCTTCCAGATACTGACTGCGCTGCGTGTTATATTTCTCCCTAGCAGTCCTTAGAGAGACACCCATCTCAACTCTAATGCTTAAGCATTGAGGTAGAGGAGCAATGGGCTCAAGCTGCAGCAAGGGAAGTTGAGGTTGGATATTAGGAAGAATTTGCTCATGAGGCGGGTGGTGAAACACTGGAGCAGGCTGCCCAGAGAGGTGGTGCAGTATCCATCCTTGGAGGTTTTTAAGACCAGAGCAGACAAAGCCATGGCTGGGATGATGTAGTTGAGACTGGTTCTGCTCTGAGCAGGGGGTTGGACCAGATGTGACCCCCTGAGCTCCCTGCCAACCGTCATTGTCTAGGATTGTAGGTCAGCCTGGTGCAAGCAATGGTTTTCTCCTGTAAACCTGTTAACAAGGAAGAACCAGTCTCGCCTACCACACTGGAGTGCAATGGGGTTTTTTGGCCATGTAGCTAGCTCTCCCTTCCACCACCCTGTTTGAGTGCAAGCCTTGAGTTGAACCAACTTTTAAGAGCTTAAGTGAAGGTGCCCATGAGTCATGATGCATCTTAATGGAGACTTCTTTATATTCCTAAGAGTTGTTTGCAGACATAAGCACTGCCAAGTAATGACACGTGTTTGGCAGGAGGGAGATGACCCGCTTTGACTGAGTCGGGAAGCTTGGATTGTAGAATTGATCCATCTCCGTGGCAGGAAACTTTTTTTTTTTATTTTCCGTCTGCTGCCGCTGCTGCCTTGCAAGTCAATGAGCTCCGCTTCGAGAGCGCAGCGCCTGGGCCTGCGGGATGACTTGCCCATCTTACACGGTCTGCAAAAGCCCTTGCTGAGCGCTGCAGAGTTTGTCTTCCTGTGGCAGCAAACATCCCTGTTTGGGTCCGAGAGGACAAGAGCGATTAAGGAGAGGCATTAGCCCAGGCTTGTGCCTCTCAGGGTCAGAGGTGGCCAGTGGTCCGCTTGCACAGACCAGTCACCGGGTAGCTGGAAGAGCATGGAGATGCCGCACAGCAGCTGCCCTGCAGCGAGTGCCCTGGCGCCTACAGGAAATCAAAGCTGCCCTGCAGCAGCTCGCTCCTCTTGCACTGAGGCCTGACCTAGGGCAGGTCGGCGTTCATCCGCTGGGCGAGGAGGGCAGCTACTAGAGTGGCTGATGCACAGGGAAACACCAGCCCCCCGTGGTTGTGCAATGACTTGCCCGTGTGCCCGCGCTCTAAGCCATCCTCCCCATCCTCTTCCTTTCCCAGTCAGGTCCAGCAACACCTTGCAACTGGAGGGAGCGTTTGGGCAGCAAGCACCACAATTGCAAGAGGGTACAGGTGCCTAAATGCAGCGACGTGACCCTGAGCTGCCTGCAACTCCTCCCCGCTGAGTCTGGAGGTGCCCTATGGTTGTTCGTACTTTCAACAGCGGGTGCCTGAATTTCTGCCCCAGAGTCCCCAGAGGCACGCGGGCGTTCAGGCCTGTCGAGCCTTCTCCACGCAGGCAGGGAGCAAGGAGGCAGAGGATGCCAAGGCTGGCCCCCTCCCATCAGTGAAAGCCGATAAAGGAGACTGGGTGTCCCAAACCGCACCAGGCGGAAAAGCGTGTAGGACTCGGGAGAGAAGTCTGCCCTTCCTGGCGAGCTGTGTCCCCCGGCTTTGCCAGCCTGGCGCTCGCTGGAGGTGTTCGAAGAAGGTGGGCAGCCACTGGTGGGGGATGGTCTGGGTGTAGTGAGCAACGCCTGTGCCCTGCTATAGGGGTTCCCAGGCTCCTGGCTTTGCTGGTCGCCCCCACGGCTCTTTCTGCCCCGCGTGTCGGAGTGTTTTAAAGCCTTCGTCGGAGGCGCTGCAGCCCAGGCTGGGGATGGGGACCAGGCTGTGCCAGTGCTGCTGCTAGAGCCGGAGGGTCCTGGCTAGAGAGACTTGCCTCTCCGCTCGGGGTCAGACGATATTTGGGGTCAGGAAGGAACTTTACCTTACGGTCACACGGGTATGGACGGGG